TTTATGTTGGCATAATATAAAAAGTTAAAAGAGAAAACAAAACCCTAATGCAGACACAGCAAATCCCTGTGGACAAACAAGATCCTCAGGCCTGGTCAGGGGCTGGGGGCTGGGATTTTATCCCAAAGTCTCACCTGGATTGTAGCTGTGAGCACTCACGTATGGCAAGACCCCCAGAGGGGCCCATGCATGAGGTCTTCCTGGAAAGACGAGGTGGACTCATATTGCCCTGGATGAGTTGGCGCCAGGAGAGCCTTGTGGGTACCCAGTGAGAGCTCGCCATTTGCAGTCCCAGGAATACAAAGATCCTGGTATTTTCTTCTTGCCCCAGTGTGAGCTCCCAAATACCCTCCCACTTCAAGTGGGATTGGGCCTAGTGTATGTACTGAGCCCCAGGAGAGGGAAGAGGCTCACTCCCTGTCCCTCCAGCTCTGGAGGGATACAGTTTTGTTTTTGTGGTGGATTGGACAGGGCCAATCAGTCCCAGTGTCTCCAACTTCAGGAGAGGCAGAGGTCTCCCTAGAGGTCTCTTCAGCTGGCAGTCTCCTCAGCTGGCCGTCCCTACCACGTAGTTGCAGAGTCCTTCACTTTTGGGCTTTCCGTTCCACCCCCATCTGGGGACTTTACCCTTCTAGATCCTACTCAATACAACTCCCAAGAAGACCTGAATCCCCAACAGCTTCTGGAATCTTCTGGGAATTTTGAACAGTCCACTGTTTCTCAAGTGTTCAACCTTAAAAGTGGTTTTAAAAATCTTTGGGGCCTGGAGAGATGGCTCAGCGGTTAAGAGCACTTGTTCTTCCAGAGGTCCTGAGTTCAATTCCCAGAAACCACATGGTGGCTCACAACCACCTTGAATGAGATCTGGTGCCCTCTGCTGGCATGCAGGCAAAAGCCATAATCAATAAATCTTCTAAAAAAGATCTTTTAAGATTTAGGGGCTGGAGCACTGACTGCTCCACCAGAAGACCATGGTTCAATTCCCAGCACCCATGGCTCACAGCTGTCTGTAACTCTAGTTCCAGGGGACCCAACACCCTCACCCCAGACATACGTGCAGGCAAAACACCAATGTATATAACTTTAAGATTTATTTATTTATTTTATGTCTATGAGTGTTTTACCTTCATGTATGTGTTAATGTGCACACATGTGTGCCTGGTGCATGAGGAGGGCAGAAGAGGCTGTCTGATACCCTGGAACTGGAATTGCAGGTGGTTGTAAGCCACTATGTGGGTTCTGGGAACAGAATGGTCCTCTGCAAGACCAGCAAGTCCTCTTAACCACTGAGCCATCTCTCCTGCTTTCCCTGAAAGTTCTTTAGGCCATGGTCCTGCTTATCTCTCACCATGTTCCTGAGAGACGTGCTAGTTTTGCTGTTTTATCGACGAGGGACTTGGGCCTGGAGTGGGAAGGGATTTAACTAAGGCCACATAGCCAGGGTGGTGTGGGAATGAGAACTCCCTCCAGGTCTCCTGAAGGTCAAGGCCTGAAATCACCATGATGCAGCCCTCCTTTGCTGTCCCTCTTCAGGGGAATGGTTGGGTTTCTGTGAGTGCAGCCAGATCTGGGGGCTCAAGAACTCTGGGTATCTATGGGCCAGGCATGCATCTTCCTGAGGCGTCCCCAACCTGAGTTGGCTTAGACCCTCCTGCTCTCCCTCGTCACCATAGCCTGGTCCAGGCCTGACTGGGTGGATCCAGGCAGAGAAGGACGAGCCATGGGAGGCGCCGTGGCTTAGGGGCTATCCTGACACTGCAGCTGCCTGCCCTGCATTTGCTCCAAAACACCAGAAAACCAAAGCTTCTGAGCTGTCCCAGTAACCAGACTGCAGAGCGGACATTCCCTCCTATTCTGTGCCTCAGGTTCCCCAAGCTCACTGTCTTTGTTTTACCTTCATAAGCATAAGCAGTTAGGGGCAGCCAGGGCAGGAGTATCAGCTTGCTGGTTGGCCTGAGGCTGAAGAGGGTGGGTTCTACTTTGAACCTGAGCTGAGGCAGCTAGCTGGCCCTGTAGGTCTCAGGAGGGGATGGAGGGGATGAGCTATGCACTCACTTTAGTTCCAGGGGCCCTGCCCATCTGGCCCATGCATCAGGACTTGGCATAGCTGTCCTGTAGATCTGGGTGTGGTCTAGCTGGATACCACACATCCACAAACTCTGGAAATGGATATACACAGCCACAAAATCCGGAGAGGCTGCCTCTGGATAGAACAGGTGCCACTGGTTCTGATGGACCACCTTCCTATGTATTCTCAAGTTCAGACCCAGGTCAGGGCACTCTGGACAGAGCATGGAGATGGCTACAATCATGGAAACAATTGGCCCTCCTTTTCAGGGCTGCCCTTTAGCATGGTGGCTGCAGATATGAGGAAATGACACAGCCAGCAATAGGAATCTTGACTGGTGTGAGCCATCTGTCTTCTGTAAGGCACAACCATGACATTCCCCATCCTTTCTGGGTTCTGAACATTTTCAAAAGGTCCACAGTGGGGCTAATGCGTGTGCAATGTGGTGTGTGTGTGTGTGTGTGTGTGTGTGTGTGTGTGTGTGTGTGTACATGCGCACTATATGTGTGTTTGTGTTCTAGAGATGGGAGCAGAGTCAGACATGCTCTTCACACCCTGTGAGGCCTCGGTGACCTGTTTCTGAGCTGTGTTGAGCCTGCTGTGACAGCCGCAGCCTTTCTCTTGCAGTCCTTAGTCCTGGTTGATCCATCTGCTGCAGAGTAGATAACTTTCAAAATTCTTTCTCCTAGGATTCTGAGGAACAAGTGCCCCAGAGTTTCTCACAATCTCCCTATGCCAGGACTGTTTACAAATGGAGTTCTTAAGAAGCCAGGCATTGAAGGGGCGGGGTGGAGGAACGCTGGCATGGATAAGGAGGCGCTGGGAGGCTGAGGGAACATTGGAGACAGAGGTCCAGATGGTGAGTGAGGGGTCTGACACCAGACTAGAGTCTTTTGTGTTCGTTCAGATGAAGAGTGGATTCCAGGAGGCTCAGGAAAAGGACCAGTGTAGGAAAAGATGCTGGCGGAAGAGAGGGAGATTTCCTTGGAGATACCAGTGCTTGGGCACTGCGACTGGAGGCTTCTAATGAGACTGTGTATATTGGAGTTTTGAGTGTAAGAGTGTCACTGGAATGAGATTCTTCGGACTACTGACTTTCAGGGGCTGAAGGGATACGTATGGAGGTGTGTCCGAAAGCAGGGGCAGAAATAATTGGGGGACACGAAACAAAGTTACGTCAAAGCCAGAAACATTGCAGGTTGGTGGGGTCAGCAGGTCAGACCCAGGTCCCAAGGACTTCCTCTCTCAGGCTCATTTTTCCCACATGAAAAATGGGATTGCTGTGAAGGCTCCTGGAAAAGAAGACGCTCTTGGCTTCCGGTGAGTGGAACAGCTATTATGGTTTGGAGGCAGGTAGAGTCCCTGAGAGTGTTCCTAAGTTCTCAGAGCTGCGAGATCAGCATTTCCCCCTAGTGGCGGCGATCTTGCGAACAACAGGCAGAGCCACCGGGCAGGCGGGGAGGGCGGCCACTGTCAAGTCGCCTGCAGCACAGCATCTGTCAGTCTGTCGTTAGGAGCCAGGGCGCAGCCAGGGCGCAGCCAGGACCTCTGGGGCAGAAGGCATGGTAGGTGAGTGGGATGCAGGCTCTGGCCAGAGTGCTGTGGTCCGACAGGCGCGGTTCCCAGGGTGAGAGGACTATGGGGCACTTGGGGCTCGTGGGGGAGACCTCTCAGGCAACTGGGTTATTTCTGTCATTTTTCTGATTAAGGTCGTCTCAGCGCTGTTGGCTGCCGCTGGTGACCTTTCCTCTAGGCATGAGGCATCTTTCTTGAACCTGGGCTGTCACCTGCCCATTCCCAGCTCCTCTCTTGGTTAGAGTTCAAGGTAGCAAGAACCCCAGGTGTTGTAGGTGCCAAGAATGTCAGTTACTTAGAATGGGAACAATTCAGATGACAGTAAACAGAACCAATTTGGGGCCAAAGTACAGTTTTTAGCCTTTTTACTCCTTCACTTGACCTCTAGGGTGGCTTTTTCTCCACACCAAGGTCACCACAGCTTTCTATATGTCAGGCCTGCCCAGTGCTTCTTGTGGATTAAACAGCTGGACCCCCCTGGAGTTGGGAGGTCAGGTCCACCTGGGGATTTGCTTCAGAGCCCTGGCTCTTCAAGCAATACTATAGTTGTGCCTACTCTTTTGATAGCCACACCGAGTGGCTCTCCTGAAGTCCTTGAAAGGTAAATATCCAAAGGAGATGGTCGTGCCTTTTCTTGGGAGAACCTGCCACTTACTCAAAGGTTTCAGTAGATCATGACTTTCCAAGTTAAAGGCCAACCATCATTTAAAAATGATTGCATTTGTGTATGTGTGTGTGTGTGTGTGTGAGAGAGAGAGAGAGAGAGAGAGAGAGAGAGAGACAGAGAGAGAGACAGAGACAGAGAGAGAGACAGAGAGAGAGAGTGCACGAGCCCTGTGTCCTTTCATGTGTTTAGAGGTTAGTGGAAAACTTGCTAGAGCTGATTCTTTACTTCTCCCATGTAGCTCCCAGGGATGAACTCAGGTCATCAGGTGTGGGGACAAGCTCATTTACCTGCTAAGCCATCTCACTGGCCCCAATTTTATTTATCTACTTATTTACTTTTTATTTTGTTTTCTTTTTCAAGACAGGGTTTCTCTGTGTAGGTCTGGCTGTCCTGGAACTACCTCTTGTAGACCAGGCTGGCCTCAGACTCACAGAGATCTCCTGCCTCTGCCTCCGGAGTGCTGGGATTAAAGGTGTGCACCACTACCGCCCCGCTTATTTTATCATTTTTGAGGCTCACACTTTTAGTACTCGGCAGTTGTAATGCACTTTACAGTAGGCAGCAGGTGTTTTTCTTTCTCGGAGGCTGTGACTATCAGCCTGTGCGCCTCAGTGTGGCACTTTCAGTGTGTTCACTGAGGAGAGAGCTGTGATTGCTTCAATGCATCTTTCCCCTCTATTCCACAGATTCCTCCTTGTTTCAATTGTTCCATCCTCCCTGGAGAGCTACCCCCAAATGGGTCAAGGAGCCCCATGTTCTGCAATGGCAGTGAAGTCAAGGCAAACTTTGACCCTGAGGACTTGAACCTGACTGATGAAGCCCTAAGGCTGAAGTACCTGGGGCCACAGCAGATAGAGCTGTTTGTGCCTATCTGTGCCACGTACCTGTTGATCTTTGTGGTGGGCACTGTGGGCAACGGGCTGACCTGCACCGTGATCCTGCACCACAAGGCCATGAACACGCCCACCAACTTCTACCTTCTCAGCCTCGCTGTGTCCGACTTGCTGGTGCTCCTGGTGGGCCTGCCCTTGGAGCTTTATGAGATGCGACACAATTACCCGTTCCAGCTGGGCGCAAGTGGCTGCTACTTCCGAACACTGCTCTTTGAGACCGTCTGCCTAGCTTCAGTGCTCAATGTCACAGCCCTGAGTGTGGAGCGCTATGTGGCTGTGGTGCACCCACTCCAAGCCAAGTCTGTGATGACACGGGCCCACGTGCGCCGCATGTTGGGGGCCATCTGGGTTCTCGCTGTGCTTTTCTCTCTGCCTAACACCAGCCTACATGGCCTCCGGCATCTGTATGTGCCCTGTCGGGGTCTGGTGCCTGACTCAGCTGTGTGCACATTGGTGCGTCCCCGAGTCTTCTACAACTTGGTGGTCCAGACCACCACCCTCCTCTTCTTCTGCCTGCCCATGGTCACCATCAGTGTGCTGTACCTGCTCATTGGGCTGCGACTGCGGAGAGAGAGGATGCTGCTCCAAGAGGAGGTCGAGGGCAGGAAATCTGCAGTGACCCGAAAGACCTGCAGCAAAAGAAGGCTTCAGCTTCAAGATAGGGGACGGAGACAGGTGACCAAGATGCTATGTAAGTGTCATTGTTGAGGAAGGAGCTGAGCCTCCTTGGGTCCGGGGAAGGAGCTAAGCTTCTGGCTTTTTGAAAGTTTGTCTCGAGTCCACTGTGCTTCTTGCTAGACTCCGCCCCCAGACAGGGTTTCTCTGTGTAGCCCCTGGCCATCCTGGAACTTGCTATGTGACCAGGCTGGCCTGGAACTCTTGAGTGTAGGGACTAAAGGCCTGCGCCACCATCGCCGGGCTCTCCTGTTCACTTTTTCCCGCCCCCTGTTCACTTTTCAAGGATGGGAGGATAGTGAGCCAGAGACGCAAACACTGAGCACGATGCAGATCAAGGCAGGCCTGTCTTCTCTGTTTTTGCAGTTGCTCTGGTTGTGGTGTTTGCCATCTGCTGGGCTCCATTCCATGCTGACCGCCTCATGTGGAGCTTGGTGTCCCACTGGACCGAGGGCCTGGTCCTGGCCTTCCAATTTGTGCACGTTGTATCTGGGGTCTTCTTCTACCTCGGCTCGGCCGCCAACCCAGTGCTCTACAGCCTCATGTCCAGTCGCTTCCGCGAGACCTTCCGGCAAGCCCTAGGCCTGGGAACCCAATACCATCGCCGCCACCAAAGCTATCATGGCTCCCATAACCTCAGCAGATTGACCACAGGCAGCACCCTGTGTGACTTGGGTTCCCCAAAAAGCAGGGCTGGCCCCTTGGCTGAGGATAGGGATCCAGGATTTCAGCAAGAGACAGATCCGTCCTGAGTAAAATCTCAAAGGAGGCTCAACCCCTGGGCCAGAGGGCCCCAGGCAGTCTGGGGAGCTACTGGGATCAGCACTCTAGTGACTCCCACTCTACCCACATGTTTGAGTGTTGAGGGAAACAGCAAGAAAAAGAGGATTGAACCCAGATTGTCAAAGACTCGCATTGAGGGCCTGGAAAGCTGACTCTACAGTTAATGCTTGCTGCTTCCGGAGGACCTGAGATAAGGTCCCAACAGCCACATGGCAATGCTTGCTGCTTCCGGAGGACCTGAGATCAGGTCCCAGCACCCACGCTGTAGCTCACAACTGCCTGTAACTGCAGCTCTAGCTCATCTGACATTCTCTTTTGGCTTCTGAAGGCGCCTGCGCGCGCGTGTCCACAACACGCATGCATTTAAAAAGAAACTTTAAAGGAAGACCCACATTGAGCCAGGCACATGCTGTACACCCCTCCAGACCCCACAACCCCAGCTAAATTCTCCCTCACAGAACTATCACAGCCACCTGGGCCTCGGCAACTATCCCTCTGAGGATCCCTCCTTCCACGGGACCTAGTTGTCATTCTGGTGACTTCGGAGTTTCCTTCCATAGGTTCTGACCTGTCTTCCCCTCCAGCTCTTCTACCTCATCCACTGGGCACCATCTTCTCACCATGACCCTTCCTGGCTTCTTAGTCTACACTGAAATCTGAGCCTCATAGAGCTGCCAGGTGACAGAGGCTCCCAGGGACCCCAGGGAACTCAACCTTTGTCACCAACTTGTTGCCTTGTGGCATCTAGCAAATCACCCCTCCTTTCCTTGTTTTTAAAATGAAGGTGCAAGCCGGGCGGTGGTGGCGCACGCCTTTAATCCCAGCACTTGGGAGGCAGAGGCAGGGGGGTCTCTGTGAGGTCGAGACCAACCCGGTCTAAAAGAGCTAGTTCCAGGACAGCCTTCAAAGCCACAGAGAAACCCTGTCTCGAAAACCCAATAAATAAATAAATAAAATAAAATAAAATGAAGGTGCACTGACACTCCAGCAACACCCTTTGGTGCCCCCTGTGTTTTCATCTGTGTGCACAAAAACCAACCATTGACGGTTTCACATTCTCTGTATCACTCCCAAACCCTGCTTTCCCTCTGACCTTCACATGCCCCTGCTCCAAGCTGCCTCGGGCAGGTCCTCTGCTTGTGTAAATGTAGATAGGGCCAACCTGTGAACAGTGCACTCCCCTTGCCTGTTGCCTTTCTCACCTGCAGACAGGCTGACCTGGCAGCCCCAGATGAACCAAGTTCTAGATGCTGTTAGCCAGGGGATCTCTGGAGGAAGAAACGTGGGCTCACCAAGGACCAGAAGTGGCCATGCAGAGACAGTGTGTTGGTTGTTAATCTTTACCAACTTGACACAAACTAGAGTCACCTGGGGAGGGGAATATCAGTTGAGGAAGCACATCCTGGCCTGAGGACGTGTCTATAGGACGTTTTCATGACTAACGATTGATGTGGCAGGGCCCAGCCCTCTGTGGGTGGTGCCACTCCTGGGCAAGCTAGAGGGGAGCAAGCCAGTAAGTAAGCCCAACTCCCCATGGCCTCTGCTCCAGTTCCCGACTCCAGGTTCCTGCGTTGGTTCCCGGTGATGGTGGACAGTATGCAGAAATAAGTCCTTTCCTCCCCACGTTGGCTCTGGTTAGTGTTTTATCTCAGCAACAAAATGCAAATGGAGACAGGCAGCTCTGCAAAAGGGACTAGGTGGCCAGAGACAACACTTGAAATTTCATGCCATTCTGAATCCAGGGACAATCTGGTGCTCAGGACGGATCCCATTAATAGATGAAATGTGTTCCCCTGCTACTTGCTGGGTCTTGTCCTTCAAGACCTGGTGTCCACAGCTAGGGGATGGACTGCACAGTGACCCTGTAGACAACCTGCCAACTGGTGCCCTAGTTTCCCAGCCTGTCCAGCGAAGGAGATGGTATAAGGTTGTTTCAGGAGTCAGTTTTACATCACTGTGACAAATATCTGACAGAGACACCTGAAAGGCGGGAGGGAATTGGGCATGGTGACACATAGCTATAATCTCAGTGCTTTGGAAGTGATGATAGGAAGATAATGAGTTTGAAGTTAGCCTGGGCTACATGGTGAGACTACCCACAAAAAACAAACAAACAAACAAAAACAAATAAGATTTCTTTTGGCTGGGGTTTCAGTCTTTGGTCAGCTGGCTCCATTATTTCTACCTGTGGAGAGAGAGAGGGGCATGGTGAGTTAGTTTCTTACCTCATGGTAGCTAGTAAGCAACAAAACACTGCAGGAAAAAATTAAATTATTTTGTTTTTTTTTTCTTCAAGGGCATACCCCCAGTGACCTACTTTCTATAACTGAGTCTTACCTCTAGAAGTTTCCATCACTCTCCAGCAATACCATGAAATTAAGAACCCACCACAGAGCACTTATGACCCAATTACTTCCTCAAAACTCTACTTCCAAACATAGCTGCACTGGTCATGCTGCATTGGGAAGCAAGCCTTCAACACAAGCGCTTTTGTGGGGGTTGTAATATTCAAATCATAATGGTGGCAGATCTGTTGTTTACTCAGTTATACAAATGATAAACACTAGCTGGGCAGTGGTGGCGCACACCTTTAATTCCAGCACTCTGGAGGCAGAGACAGGCAAATCTCTGTGAATTCAAGGCTAGCCTCATCTACACAGCAAGTTCCAGGACATCCAGAGCTACACAGAAAAACCCTGTCTCAAAAAACAAAACAAAACAAAATCAAATAGTAAGCACTATAGAAAATGTGGAAATGCAAATAAGCAAACATAGAAGAAAAGGGGGGTGGGACACTTGCCTTGTGAGCATGGAATCCAACTCAATCCTCAAGACCTATAGAGCAATGCCTGGTGTCATAGCTGTCTGTGATAGGTGGCATTACTGAGGATGGCATTTGAGGCTGTCCTCCAGCTTTTACAAACACACATACACAGGCACAGAGACTCACACATGTGCATGCACACACATGTGCACATATCCAACCCAAACAGACATACACACCTATGCATGAACCTGCA